GAATTCGCGTTTTTTCTTTTGATTCTTTCAATTTTTCAATTGCATTACGCATTATTGCAATAATTTCTATCGTTACATTTGTATGTATTCAACGTTTGTTTGTTTTAGTGTCGTGAAATGAATTATATTACACATTTTCTCTATTCACACTGAATTTAAAGATTATAACGATTAAAAATCAAGTTGACCTGTGGTCATTTATCAAGAATAATCATAATAAAGCTGAAATTATTGTGTTAAATAATTTTTTTAATACGAATTAGGAATTTATTCAACGTTTGCTTGTTAGAATAGAACGATAAATTTAGTGTAAATATAGAAAACGTATAATATAATTTATTTCATGGTATTGTAACAAGCAAACGTTGAATAAATTCCTAATTCGTATTAAAAAAATTATTTAACACAATAATTTCAGCTTTATTATGATTATTCTTGATAAATGACCACAGGTCAACTTGATTTTTAATCGTTATAATCTTTAAATTCAGTGTGAATAGAGAAAATGTGTAATATAATTTATTTCATGGTATTGTAACAAGCAAACGTTGAATACATTTTTCATTCGTGTAAGAAGAATTATTTAACACGATAAATTTAGCTGTACTATGGTTATTTTTAATCTACGACCACAGGTCAACCTGATTTTTAATCCCTACGAAATTAATTTAACCACGAGTAAGTAACGAGAACGCTAAAACCTATGTTTCCATTGAAGAATATTGTAAAAACGTATAAATTGTTATATGCAATGTTATAACAAATTGTCGGAAGTATAAATTTTTAATAAAATTGTGAAAATTGATAAATTATACCGTGTTACGATATCGGAAATCTCCCGCGAAAATCTCCCGCGAAAATTTCCCGCCTGACCTAACCGACGATTTTGCTAATGACTTTGGGGAGAGGGTACCGCAGGTATATAAGGACCCGCCGATGTCCCGCGAAATCATTTACCCTTTATACTGGGCCCTAGACACTTCGCGGCGTATTTTGACCTGAAGGTTCTGAGATGTGAATAGAGTGGTCGGGGGCTACTAGCTAGTCTATGTCCACCCTGTACACACTCAGCCTTCTTGTAACACTTGTATACATTAGAATCAATTAGAATTTCTATTACTAATTATTAAACAAATTTTAACAATTACCGGCACTCGCTAGGCACGTAATATCAGACTTTAAATACTCGACTTCGAACTTCGGTTTAGTCATAATTCTATTAATGTTATAATAACGTATAATTTATTAATTTTCACAATTTTATTATTAATTTATACTTCCAAAAATTTGTTAAAACATTACATATTATTATTTATACATTTTTGCAAGTTTCTTTGACAAATAAGTACGTTTCAACGATCTTATTACTTTCTCGTTGTGAAATCAAGTTCGGAGGATTAAAAATCAGGTTGACCCTTGGTCGTAAATTTAAAATAGCCATAGTGAAGGTGAAATTATTATTTTAAATAAATGTTTCTATACGAATTAAGAATCTATTCAACGTTTGTTTGTTGCAATACCGTGAAATAAATTGTATTATATATTTTCTCAGTTTAGACTGAATTTAAAGTTCGTAAGGATTAGAAATCAGGTTGACCTGTGGTCGTAGATTAAAAATAGCCATAGTGAAGGTAAAATTATTACGTTAAATAATTGTTTTTATACGAATTAAATATTGATTCAACGTTTATTTGTTGCAATACCGTGAAATAAATTGTATTATATATTTTTTCTGTTTACACTAAATTTAAAGTTCTGTTTACATGTTATAACAATTAGAATGTAGACGTTTTGCCGTTTCACGGTTTTTCCTCTGTTAATTATGTGTTTATAAATCATTTCAAACTAAAGCAGCACCATGCCCACCCTTAATTAAACCGTCTCAGTAGTTTACCGTAATTAATAATCTATTTTCGGAATTTATACGAGAATTTTTGAATTTTAGTAAATACTAGAGTCAGTGCATCGCGTATTGAAATAATAGCTTATACAGATAATCTTTTGAAATTACTCTTAATTAGGGAAAATCTTGAATCTTGTATGGAAGATGAAGATTTTCAGGAAATATTTATTTTTCAACAATGAATTTTTGTTTTATCGATTAATAACGTACGAAATGATTTTTGGAAAATTTTCTTCGTTTGAACGTTCGTTTAAGGTTCGACTATGATTATCAAATCTCTCGAAACACCGTAGAATGTTCAATTTTAAAAGTAACTTCTTCAATTTTTGGATAATCTGGGTAACGTGTTAGTGTTGACGATACACTTTCGAGTATAGACGTTAAAGTTTATTGAGTGCTCGGTGGCTACTAGCTAGCCTATGTCCACCCTGTACACACTCAGCCTTCTTGTAACACTTGTATACATTAGAATCAATTAGAATTTCAATAGAATAGACTGAATTACAATTCATTTTAACTATTAGCTATTAGAAATTACAATACCGTGAAATAAATTGTATTATATATTTTCTCAGTTTAGACTGAATTTAAAGTTCGTAAGGATTAGAAATCAGGTTGACCTGTGGTCGTAGATTAAAAATAGCCATAGTGAAGGTAAAATTATTACGTTAAATAATTGTTTTTATACGAATTAAATATTGATTCAACGTTTATTTGTTGCAATACCGTGAAATAAATTGTATTATATATTTTTTCTGTTTACACTAAATTTAAAGTTCTGTTTACATGTTATAACAATTAGAATGTAGACGTTTTGCCGTTTCACGGTTTTTCCTCTGTTAATTATGTGTTTATAAATCATTTCAAACTAAAGCAGCACCATGCCCACCCTTAATTAAACCGTCTCAGTAGTTTACCGTAATTAATAATCTATTTTCGGAATTTATACGAGAATTTTTGAATTTTAGTAAATACTAGAGTCAGTGCATCGCGTATTGAAATAATAGCTTCATCCCTAGTTCGTTTATTATTGAATATTTTTACGCGTTTAACTTATGCTTCTCCCCAATTCTCGTCGCGTATTTTATTCAAATTTTCTTATATTCTAGAATCGAAAAAGATACGAATTCGCGTTTTTTCTTTTGATTTTTTCAATTTTTCAATTGCATTACGCATTATTGCAATAATTTCTATCGTTACATTTCATTCTAATTGTTTAGCAGCTTTTCTGCTGCTATCGACCCTACATTTTTTTTTTTTTTACGGGGAGGTAGGCCGCCTCTATGTGATAAACAATTGGCAACCAAGCGGTGGCTCGCTAAAGCGATATATTATGAAATTAAATTAATCACTCAATAAGTTTTAACGTTAGATTGTTTCCTCGATATGGCCATGGTGGTCATCAGTGACTGGAGTGCCTCAAATGTTTAGAATAATTAAAATAAAATAAATGTTGTCAACTAAAAATTTTGAACGTCATAGCTAGCTAGACATTATTTTCAATTGAAAAACAAAATTATAAAGCATAATACTGTAATCCTATGCTTAAAATGTATTTTCTTGTGGCCGCCTGACAGCAACCTGTAAATCTGGCGCGACAGTGAACGTGTTCATAAGTAAATGTTATTTTTCTATTATGATTTGTCGTAAAGGAAACCGACTGGTGTAGCGTTACACGCTTGACTTACTGCGAGCGAGGTAACATGGGCGCAGAAATGACGCAGACCTAGGCGTAGGACCATCTATACTGTCACTTGTAGAATCCAAACTTACTGACTCTTGTAGAGAATTTACTGTATATCGTCTAAGGTTTCGTTAATTAAAAATTTCTAATCGCCACATATTTCTGTGCAAAAGTTTCTCACTCGAGCACGGAATATTTTGCCGAAGATTTCGTTAAAATATCAAGGAATATTGCCCAAGAGTTCCTTAAAAAATCAGAGAATATTGCCCTAGATTTCGTTAAAAAATCAGAGAATATTGCCCAAGATTTCGTCAACGAAATTATCAAATTCCATTCCTCCTGAATTTTTCAATTTTCAAAATTTTCCATTCAAACATTCTCCCCATACTACTCGCTCCGAACTATCTCCCGGGATTAAAAGGGTTAAACAGAGACGCTAAGTCTTCCAAAAGACCGTGCGCGAAAGGAGAAAACAGGAACAAAGAGCAAAAGAAAAAAAAAACAGATACGTTCCAGAAATGTAAAAGTGGCGGAACGAGCCACAGTGAATAAAACGTAAAGCACGCTGATGGGCCGCGAAAAACCGCGTTTCCATTTACAGGTGAGCAAGAGCTGCGCGAGCAGCGCGGAATGCGGTCCAGCCTCGGTCGGTTGCATCCCGGTGGACACGCAGCAGGTGCGAAATAGCGAATTTTTCCAATTACCTGGCCTGGCGTTTCTCTCTCGTTTTTTCTTCGATTAACAAAGGAAAGGGGAAGAGGAAAGAGGCGTAAGGGGAGAAGGCCAGGTGAAATAAATTCGGTTATTTCGTTCCAGATCTGCATCAGTTGCTGCGACCTGAGCTACTGCAACATCGAGTCGCCGACAAACTCAACTAACGCGATATTCTCGCGTAAACGGAGGGCTAAGTCGAAGTCGAAACGCAAACGACCGGGTAGAAACGGCGTGGAGGGCAGCCGATTCTACGGTGGCGGTGCCCTGTGGCTTCTCGCCTCACTCTTCTATGCATATCATTGCTGAGGAAGCATCAAGCCGACGTGGAAGACGGTGAATCTAGTTAGAAGACACGAACCACCACGTGCACCAGGCAGCACCGGAATAACAACACTACCAAATTTCACCAATCTCATCTATCTCCTTAATCTCCTTAAACTTATCGATTACCCGAAGAAAAGAAAGTGATATCGCGAGCTATCTCCCACTATTCAACATATCCAACGTCTGTCGCGTGGAACGGAATTTTTGGCGGGAAAAAAAGTAAACAATCTCTCTCTCCGTCTTCTATCCCTCGACGAGTCGCGCTGGTTAAAAGTACTCGCACCTTAGCTTGCGCGTAAGCTAGAGAAATTTAGGAAACCTTCTCATCTTTCCCTTCTTCGTTAAAGCGGAACAAGGGGGACGCTAAATCGCGAGGATCCTCCGGGAGAATCCTGTGCTGTCTGAAGCGCGTGTATAGTTAAACCGGGGTCCGTTTCGACGACTCTCAGTGATGGAAAAAGGAATTGTTCTCTTCTCGTAGTGGAGTAGTTGCTATGCCTTGTTAGAAAACGAAAAGGACGAGATGGAAAACGCGAATCGATACTTAAGATTGCAGGCTTCGTCGAGTTTGTTTAATCCGAACGACATTTTCATTCTACAGAAACGTTTCTTTCCGTTCTCGTTTCTCGATCGAACGCCGATAGAACGAGGGACGGAGGAGAAAATTCGGCTCGCTTTCACTCGGACCACTTGTGAATCGGAGAGAAAGGAAAAGGGAGGAGAAACGAAACTTGATTCATCGAGAATTTCAGTAGCTGCCGGAGCCAACGATCGATCATTATCCTCGAGGCACTTGTTAAGCGAAGCCGCGAATTCCCCGTACGGCTCGCGACCATGCATTTCATCTGACAAATAAAGTAACGAGCCCCATCTCTCATCCTCTCCGTGCCGTCTTTGTGTTCGCTTTCGTTAGTGCTCCACTTGGACTTAATTTATACTCCGGTAATCGATCCGGCTCAATTGAATATTTAACCACTCTAACGATTCGACAAGGTACCGCCTTTTCTTCCGTTGAGAGAGAGAGAGGCTATCGATCTGGCTTTACTTTCGGCGGGCTCTTAATTAAAACGGGTTCCTACTAAATTTCCAGCTGTGCTATCTCCAGTTAACCTCGTCCTGTAACAATAACGTCTTTTCCCCTTCGATCGGGAAATGCTTTCTTTCTTGAACGTCGAGATGGCCGAATGTGAGTTTGGTCGGGTCGATCTCGAACGAACCGATGTTTCCTGGAGGGAGAAAACGCGAGAAGACGCGGGCCGAAACGGCGAGGCCTCGGCCTCCGTGTGCACGGTTCGGCAAATAGGTATGCAAATCACGAATTACGCGAGCCAGACGCACGCGGGATTTGAATTATCGATAAACCGGAGTTACGCGTACCTAAAAGCTGTTTACATACCTACCAGACTCGCCTACTACAGACTATTTACCGCTATTACGATTATTAACAATTATACGATATAAATAAATGAACGAATGAATACACGTGTATATGTGTGTATGTGTACGTACGCGTGGATACATGTACACGTGTACGTATAGAGATTATACATTGTTTCGGCATGAAAATGTAAGAATACTGTTGGTAATGAAATAAAGAAGACTATAATTGTCGAAGTGACTCTTGGTGGATGAATTCTTGCGAGTGAACCGTGGACTGCAACGGCGATACGCTGAAATATGCAAGATACATTGGGAATAATATTACAGATTACTGCATATTTTAATGTGTCGTGATTGCACGAATATCTGCTTGTGAATTTTAAACAACTACCATATATCCCTTGAAACGGAGTTTACGTCTTTAATTGTACTTAGCCGAGTGCTGAGGTTTTCCATTTTAAGTTTAATCCTGACTTAAAGTTACGATTCGTCTTGCTTCGCTTGAAGTTAATTATTTTCTTCGTTTGTGAATATTTATTTTTCTGTCGTTCTTGATATTGCTACACATCGTTTGACATGAACCGCGTGGTATTGTTAAGAGGTAGATTTTTGTTTTCACTTACCCGGTACGATGAGAGAGATGGAAAAAGCTGGTATCAACAGCGTGGCAATTTCGAATCTGTTGATTTTCCCGCGCATTCGCCGCCGCCATCTTGCTTTCCTGCGATATTTGAAGCTCCCGCGCTCTACATATTTTCCCACGGTTCCTCCTTCCTGCGAAGTTCTTTGAAAACCTCTCCGAGCACTTGTTTCCACTGTGATATTCCTCTGGTAATCACTGTCACACTTTTCGAGAACCGTACGCGCATACTTTCCGACTTTAAGAACAGTTAAGACGAACGATTGGTAAAAAGCACTACGAATTACCGCGCGTTCATTGAACAATTCGTCGTCGCGTGGGCCCGGCAAATATTTTAGGAGATATCTCGCGCACTTCACTTTCCCCGTCGAAAACTTCATCTCACTCGCGTTCGCGAACCCCGATGGAAACTTTTTCGTGTCAATTTGCGCGGTAATTGACGAATTTTATTAAAGATTTCGATAACATTGAACGGAGCAACGTGGATTCGGCTATTCGAAGCACCCTCCATGGCGTACGTCACGTGACCCCCTCCGCACCCAATTTGAAATGTTCTAGGCGGAGCCACAATATCCCGCGCATGCGCAATATCAAAATCTATATTAAAATGGAGGAAAAGAGTCAAGTTGTGGAACGAGATACCAAGAAGGATGAGATTCATGAAAAGGATAGGAAATCTAAAAGGTGAGCAAACATTCCGCCGATTCTTAAGAAATGCCCGTCGTGTAATTTGAGTGAGTGCGATTGGAGAGTGTTTAATTTGGTTCACCCTGCGTGGAAGCTGATGGATGACCGGCAGTTTCATAGGCATAATTCAATGTTATTTCTCCACATCCGTTATATAATTATCGATGACCACATCTCATTATTAGACAGAAATAATGGAGACTATCTCGCATCGTTAGATTGCAACATCATAACCTATATCGGCACTTGAGAATTATGTTTATGCGTTACAGTAACCTTCCAATCGTGGAACTTCGTTTAGGAACATTTAGCTTTACACGTGCCTTAACGTTACAAGAATATCATTGTGTGTTTGTTAATACTGATAAATGCTTTAAAAAAAATGTGTGCTTTAATTTTTAACACCTTCCCCCCCCTTTCCCATCCTATCCTGTCTTCTTGGTTGATGTTTTTATGTTGTCGACAGTGTGTGTGGAGTGTTTGTTTCATCGCTGTAAGTATGTAAGATAATGGAAAGAGGATACTTGTAATTTAGTTCCAAGAAGAGACATCGTAAGAAGAAGAACGAGATGGCACATGCTACCAGTGAAAACCATAATCATATAGCCTGCAGAGATGAGCACGAAATGCACAGCACGTGTAATGTGAATATTTCCATAAAAGACATACAAATGGCGATGGAGGTATTTAATATACAACAGAAGCCTGCCAAAACTCAAGAAGAGGCTATGCAAAAACCTTATCAGTTTTGGAGTACACAACCGGTACCAAAAATGGGTAAATGATTTAGCATATTCTGTTCGAGGATAATACAATTTCAAATGGATAAAGTTATGTCGATCTTCTGTAGATGAGAAGATAGTGAAAAATGAACCCATTGAACCTGATAAAACATATATAAGGGCAGAACCTTACTCGTTACCTGCAGATTTCCAATGGGATACTCTGAATCTTGACGATCCGTTAGTTTTATGTGAATTGTATACTTTATTGTCTGAGAATTACGTGGAAGATGACGATGCTATGTTTAGATTTGATTACCCACCAAGCTTTTTGAAGTGGTAAATAGTATGTCAACTAGTGAAGTTTAGAGGTTAGCTTAGCTCAGTAAGTCTTCAATAGAACATTCTTTTAGGGCGTTACAACCCCCTGGGTGGTGCAAAGAATGGCACTGTGGGGTAAGGGTCACTAAAAGCGGACGTCTAGTCGGTTTTATTTCTGCCATTCCAGCTACTCTGCGTGTTTATAATCAGTAGGTTTCAAATTTTCATCGAGCATTTGTCTCCCATTAGCTAATAACATGCAAAATTTTAGTACTCAAAAAATGGTGGAAATTAATTTCCTCTGTGTGCACAAGAAATTAAGGTCAAAAAGGGTTGCTCCAGTGCTAATACGTGAAATAACCAGGAGAGTTAATCTTCAAGGTATATTTCAGGCTGTGTACACCGCTGGTGTAGTATTACCAAAACCAATAGCTACTTGCAGGTGTGTACATTCGTCGATATTTCGATATATTTATCATTCTTTAACTCTACGATCAATTTCCTTAGGTATTGGCATCGTTCCCTAAATCCAAAGAAACTAATTGAAATAAAGTTCTCTCATTTATCTCGTAACATGACTATGCAGAGAACTTTAAAATTGTACAAACTGCCAGAGAATACAAAAGTACCAGGGTTTAGGAAACTGGTAGAAGCAGACATACCACAGGCTCATAAAATATTGACAGATGTAATAATCGTCGTATCGGTACAATATAGGCAGTGTTTTCATACAATACTAAGGTGATTTGTGTTTCAGTATTTGGAGAAATTCGATTTGGCACCGATCTTCTCGATCGAGGAATTCCGACATTGGTTTCTCCCGCAGAATGGGATTATTAATAGTTTCGTAGTTGAAAACGACGGTAAAATTACCGACATGGTTAGCTATTATACATTGCCAAGCTCTATAATGCATCATCAAACACACAAGACACTTATGGCAGCGTACAGTTTCTACAACGTGTCCACGGTGACTCCTTGGCTGGAACTTATGACTGACGCACTGATTTCAGCACGGAATGTAAGTTTCACGGTTTGTACATCAGCGATAAAAATTCAACGAAACATCATGCACGTGGTCTGTTTCAGCTTGACTTCGACGTGTTTAACGCGTTGGATCTGATGGACAACAAAGAGTTCTTGGAACCGCTGAAGTTTGGTATAGGTGACGGAAATCTGCAATATTATTTGTATAATTGGCGTTGTCCTAGCATGACACCCGGAAAGATTGGTTTGGTGCTCCAGTAGACTTCTAGCACAACGGATCGTTGTCTAGAGAAAACATTTCTTTCGCACGTGCAAGCTTAACAGAAAAAAGGGTGTGATGGTAAAAGTTAAAAAAAAAAAAATGACAAAAAAAGGAAGAGAGAGAGAGAGGAGAGAAGGGATACTGTGAGAAAGAAAGGAAAGGAAGTAGAAAGTACGAGATTAAAACGGGGATGCGAATAGGACCTTGGCTTCTATCGACGAGCTATCCAAAAGCACATTCAACGATCGAAAGGAATCGACGTTTCCTTTGACGTGTCAAGTAGGATGTTCCATTGGATCCTCCTCCCCCCACATTGGGTTTCGTGGATGTTATCTTTCGCCTCCACCTCCGCTCATGACGCTAGTTCAAGGTCGAAATCGGAATACGCATGTGCAACGGCGTGTGTATATACGTATGTGCGTGACTCGAGCAATGTAGATAAAATATCGTACACTCTAGTAATTTGCAGAAGCCATGCGGAGGAAAATTTCCCCCTCTTACAGGTATCCATCGTCGGCCGCGTCAACGTGTTATACGTCCGTATGAAAAAATGAGAAAAATTGTCTCCACACAAAGGGTAACCTTGGGAAAAAAGAAAAAAAAAACGCTGTTTAATTTAATCGAGGATCCGCACGATTTTCCCCTCGAGCATCTTTCCCCGATGAAAAATAGATCGGAAAAAAGTATGCCGAAGTGAGAGTGGAAGAAGGAGAGTTTAAATAAAACAAGGTCGAAAGTAAAGTGTTCCGTGTGTTTGTTTAACCCTTTCGTCCATCTCCCCCGAACACCCCTATCAAACTTTAACGATAAATCTCATTCTCATCTCGATAAGCCCCTTTGTGCCACCTTTTTTTTTCTCTCTCTCTCTCTCTCTCTCTTTCTCACCCTGTTGCACAGATGGAAAAAAACCGTTTGTTTCTTATTGCACGTCGACTATACCCAGGTTTACAGCCTCTTAGCGGGGAGATTCGACGATTTTAGATCGTTCGCTTTGGCAAAGCTTTCCTTTCCGGTTGTGTGCACCTTATAGTGGCGCGCGGTTGCGTAACGAGGGTTCGCTTCCGGCGCCGATTAGATAGCGGCAAGACTAAAAAGGCACAGAAAGAAAACCAGTTTTTAAGGACTGTCATTAGGAGAAACACATCGGGGTGACCGGGCGGCGGCGGCGGCGACGACGGCGCGTTGTCAGTAGTAATTTACGTTCTTTCAAAATGTGCACTTCGTTGAAATATACGTATTATATCTTTGAGTGAAACAAGTCTTTACGAACTGTGTCTCGGATAATTGGCCGTTTCGAGAAATGAAATAGAAGAAAGAGAAAAGTGACCCGGAAGTTTCTCGGTTGATTTATTTTACCTTCTTTCTTTTTTTCGTTTCGACGCACGTCGCACCTCCACGAATGCGGCGTGTGCCCTTAATACCAGCCGAGGTCTTTGTAACACTTGCTTGCAGATCAATATTTAACACAATATACACACGACCGACATGCAAGGCCTTTTCGAGATAAAAGGCGCGAAACGAAGGCCCCGTAGCGATTAAAACAGCTGACATTTACACGCCCGTTTAGATACGGGCCGAATCTCGAGTATCCGTTTCTGACGACATATCCGTTCAGTATCCGTTTAATTTATTAAGAAACGATTAATTCGTAACCAGGTGTATTAGATGTCGGAGTGTGCGTGTGTGATCGATGATATTCCCTTTAATGTACACAAGTGAATAACGACTGTGTAAACTAACGATTAGTGAAAAACACTGTAGGTCTCGATCGTTTCGTAATTTAAGATCGATTAGTCCGTTCCTCGAAGGCGATGAATAATCGAAATCTTTTTATTATACCTTTGTTTACACTAGTAACATCTTCTTCCCCCCGCAATTCGACACTTGATTTTCTAATCGTTCCTCGTAATTTACGATCGAGGTGCGAGAGAAGAAGAAGACAAAAGCGAAATTTACACGTTTTCCACCGGTTTCCATTAATCATACACGAAGGCGTCATGAAAGCCCATGAAAAAGCTTATCTACACAATGTGCCGCTGTTTGTATGATTAATGTTGAAAAAACGGTGTTTATTGTTACCTTGGCCGTTATCGTTTGTTATCTCGACACGTAAAAAAGGAAGAAAAAAGGAAGAGGATCACGAAAGGTGAAATTTAACACCCTTGTAAAGGTGTTCCGTCCAATCAATCCGGCCATTAAGATTAAGGAAACACGTTCGTTGTCCGTGAGCCCGATAAATTGGCCGGTTCGTCGGAAGGGAAACATCAATCATCTTGAAGTTTAACCAAGAACCGGAGTAATCGCGGACGAAATTAACATGTAATTAGACTAATTCTGTACGACTTGGCTCACCTTAACGCGAAAAAAGGAACGCGTCCTTCGTGGAAACTTCTCCTTCCTCGATAATTTCCCATCCGGTTCAATTGTGAAACGCTCGCGCGCGCGCGCAAAAGCATAAAAAGGCCTCGTCGATTAGGGTTCTTCGTTCAGGGATAACGTGACACGATTATACAGCTAGAGAGATATCAGCGCGCGATTAACAAAATAAATAGCCTTATGGTATTTATAATTCACGCGAAAATCGTAAAATGCGATCTATCGATTGGAACTGCAATCTGTTCAAATATAATAAAAATTTACGACCTCTCTTACGCGAAATTTCTTCGTGAACGTTCGAAAACCAGCGGAAAAATGGAAAACGACGTAGATTGCCCGATCAGGCAGGAAGAGCTGAGAAAATTGCACACCGGTGTGCACCGTCAGCGATCCTTGGATAAAATCTGGTGGTCTAAAAAAAGCGAAAAAAGACACGGAAGAATACGGGCGTGATTGTGAGTCAGGTGAACTCCCGCGATCCGGATGATGGAACATTGTTGTCAGCGATCTGGCCAGAGTAAGAGGGCCTTCAACTCGCGACGATCCTTGGCCGAGCGTACCGATTTCGCAGCGTGCGTTTCCACAGGGGGGAGCTCGATGCACTCTCCTATCATTGTCAGCAAGATTGATCGCTAACGCACCGCGGTAGGCTGGTAAAACCAAGGAAGAGAAGAGAGAGAAGAGAAAAAGAGAAAAGAAACGGAAAAACGGAAACGAGAAATCGCCGAACAATACCCGGAGCAGATAACAGCAACGAAGCGCTGACGAGCAAGTAGGTGGGGAACACGAGACACACGATGTGGAATAAATAGTGGCCTGAAATCGAGCGGAATTCAGTCGCACTGCTGTTGTGTACCACTCGTCGTTGACGTTTTATTCACGAGGAACTCGTCAGAGGTCATCGTGAAGTGATCTAGTCCTAACGTATCGAAGGAGGACAGGATCGATAAGTAACGACGGGGTGATATCCGCATACCTGACATTTTTCGCGTTTAGCTACTTTTGTCAGATCCGTGTGAGGTAGATTCGAACGACGGCTGAACAGGGGATTCATGTCTTCGTAGTAAGAGATGATGCTGCGTGTGTTGTTCCTGTTGATCCCTGCACTGCAAACCAACGCGTTCCTTTTCGGGTACATAGAAATAATAACAAAAGATTTGCCTTCTAGTTTCTAAATTCAAAAAACAAGATGACAATACATGTTTCGAAGGGAAAAAATATAAAAAGAAGATTTCGCTGTGTGAAGAAAGAAACGAAAAAGAGTACAGAGAAAGAGAAGTTTGTTGGCGAATGTTGGCAAGCGCATCCCGTAACTCCTGAAATACCCATAAAGCGTTCAAGTTCAGGTCTGAAAATATCTTATCTAATTCGTGTCATTGGCCCGGCTCACACACACACACACACACTCTCTCTTTCTCTCTCTCGAGTTCTACCGGCCTGCTAACACCTCGTTTCTCTTGTCAGCTTCGTACCTACCACCCCCAACGTCATCGAGGACCATCGTTCGAGAGAGTTCAATGTTTACTGGAACGTGCCGACCTTCATGTGCCATAAGTACGGTCTACACTTCGAGGAGGTGTCGGATAGATACGGTATCCTGCAGAACAAGATGGACAAGTTCCGCGGCGACGAGATCGCGATCCTCTACGATCCAGGGATGTTCCCGGCTTTGCTGAAGAGCGCGAACGGTAAACACAACAGTACACGTTCCTAATGTAATATACGAACGGCGATTATTATTGTCGACGATGGAAGGCGAAAGCAGACAACCTTTGAACGTGATTCAGGGGATGTAGTGATGAGAAACGGCGGTGTGCCGCAGGAAGGCAATCTTACCAAGCATCTCGAGGTATTCCGGGAGCACTTGATCAATCAGATACCGGACAAATCGTTCCACGGCGTCGGGGTGATCGATTTCGAAAGTTGGAGGCCAATCTTCCGGCAGAATTGGGCTTCCCTTCAACCGTACAAGAAACTATCCGTAGACCTTGTACGTCGGGAGCACCCGTTCTGGGATAGCAAGAGCGTGGAACAGGAGGCGAAACGACGATTCGAGAAGTACGGGAAACTTTTTATGGAGGAGACGTTGAAAGCGGCCAAACAGATGAGGCCCGAAGCTATCTGGGGATACTACGCTTACCCTTACTGTTACAATCTCACGCCGAATCAACCTAGCTCCCAGTGCGACAGCACTACGATCCAGGAGAACGATAAGTATGCAATTCACCCCTGGCTATCTCGCCTACTTTTTCAATGCTATCCGTGACTAGACTCTCCCTACGATCGTTCCTCGTTTATCGCATTAGCGCCTCTGTCCTACTCGCGCGTTCTCCAGTTGTCCGTGAGAAAGGAAGAGGAGTAAGAAGTAAACGAGAAGAAACGTTCCTCGTGGATTTAAGATAACAAGATTACACGGAGATCACGGCGCTCTTAAGTGGGTCAGTGTCAAGAGCCGTGTCGCGGTGAAAATTCGAATCGTCCCGTCGTGAAAAGACTCGCGCATCTCTCTTATCTAATCGAGCAACCTCTGATAAACTAAAATCCGTGCGCCGTGCGTTTTTCTACCCCGTTTCAGATTATCCTGGCTGTTCGAGCTCGAGGATGTGCTCCTGCCGTCTGTGTACTTGAGGCGGAGCCTAACGAGCGGTCAAAGAGTAGGCCTGGTCGGTGGTAGGGTGAAGGAAGCTTTGAGAATAGCGAAGCAAATGACGAGCAGGAAAAAGGTTCTCCCTTATTACTGGTACAAGTACCAAGATCAGAGGGATAGCTATTTGACTAAGGTGAGTCCACTCGTTTCGAAAACATTTTTCCGGAGATAGGAGAGAAAGAGAGATGATCGTCACCTGATAAACATCCTCGGGGGCCTCGCTCTTCAAAAGTGGATTTATCTTCGCAGGTCGATCTCGAGGCCACTCTTAGGAAGATCTCCGATCTTGGCGCGGACGGTCTGATCATCTGGGGGAGCTCTAACGATATCAACACCAAGCAGAAATGCCTGCAGTTCAGGGAATACCTGAACAACGATCTTGGCCCAATCGTCGATCGGATTAGGCGAACTGCTCTGGGCTTGAGCCAGCGTAGCGGCAATTCTCTGGACAATCGGGTCGGCGTGAGCGTCGATCAGGTCTGACGATAGCTTTGCCTTCTTCGATATGAAATAGGTTCGGTTCTCTTTGCGGAACAGACGATAAAGTATTAGGAGAAATTTTCTGCGCAAAGGTCCTCCTCCTCCTCCTCCCACCCCACCCTCTCTTTAGCTTACATGCGCGAGATTACCATACGTGACGAGCAGAGGAGACTCCTCTCGACCTTCGAAATAGAAAGACGCGGTTGTTGGACACGAGACGTGTCGTTGAAACCAAAGACGATTCTGGTCGTGAACGTTACCTCGAGGCGTCGCAGTGTCGAGTATCGAGGAACGATCGAGATAATAAATTTCCTACGACAATTACCTCATCTAATTTCTTTCATTCTTAAACAAATACCCCAACCCTCGAATTCTTTCTCTCGAGTAACAACTCGAAGAGATCGCTATCCTTAACCTATGTGTCCTACCATCGGCAACGAAACAACTGTGGCAATCAAAGAGAAAGAGAGAGAGAGAGAGAGAGATAGGACGAACGAACGCACTTTGGCACTAGCGTACGACAAGTTTTACTGGTTCGAGGTGTAAGGCCTGAGGCGATCTTGCTTTTTACAGTACACGCGACGTGGTCGTTGTAGAGGTAGTCAAAGATCTCTCTTGCTTACCGTTCATTCCTCCCCTCTCCGATCGTGCGGGCACACACAGAGCGATGATCCTTTCTCTTTCTGTTTCCACGAGGGTTACCTGGAGGAACTGCGGGAGAGAGAAAGAGAGAGAACGGAACGGGAACGGCGCGGAACCGAACGTACCGAGTAGAAGGAGGAGCTGAAGGAGACTCTCTGGTGGAGTGGTGGAGGTGGAGAGCAAGAGGAGGAGGAGGAGGAGAACGGAACACGAGAGATCGGCAGCACAGTTTCGTGTTCAGCTCAGCTCGGTTCGGCTCTCAGCCTCATATCGGATCTCCCGTGTTTCTCAGGCGAAAAACGTTCGTCAAATTTGTCGATCCAGGATCTCTATTCACGATCCACTTCCCGATATAGTCTTCGCCAGGCCGGACACAGAACCGGGCGGAGAACAACACTGGCCGGAGGGGGAACGAGTGAAATAATTCCACGGATATATACATTCTGCAACAGTTCGTTACTGTTTCACTACCGATCATTCTGCTCTCAAGCGATTTCTAGAGTGGTGCGTAGTTCGCGACGTCGCTGACGTACACGGAGGTGAGTGACAGTTTCTTCAGAAACGCCAAGGCTGGCGGCTCGAGATCGCTGCCAGAGAGTTGCCAGGCTACGTGATCTGTGTGTGCTTAGTCGGAGAAGATTCGATAACAACGTCGGAAAATAGCCATGTTGCTCACGTTAGACCCTTTAAAAGTGTCTCTCTCTCTCTATCTATCTATCTCTGTCGGTTACACGATGCAATTATGGATCGAGAGTATCGGATAGATTTTACAATGGGAAGGCGTGCGAGGTGTGTACGATTCCACCGGAAGGCAAAGCCCTCTTTTCCGGTGGGTCTGCACGAGGCAGAAGAAAGTTAACACCAACCCGAAGAGTGGCAACGATGATCACAGGCTCTTAGAAAGTGGCCAAAGGGACGGTCGGCGGTGTGGCCAAGGGGACAGAGGGACGTCCGTCGTTAAATAGTTCAGAAGCACCCTATCCAAAACGTTTTGCCCACTAATCCTAATACCAGACCCTATTCTCGAGTTAATGATAGCTCTTCTTAGACGCGACGATTCACTTCCTAAAGCTAAACTGTTGCGCGGTAGCCGAACTCTCGCCATCGGGTCCTTTCTAATGAAGACCTTTTTGCGACTTGCCACCGGTGCGGTTAATTGGCTAATTCCACCTGAAAAAAATATCCATCGAGAGATTCACGCGAGATCGCTTTTTTTCTCTCTCTTCCCTCCTTCTTCTTCCTCTCCATCGTGGAACGAAAGAGGGAAAAAGAAGTAGGTTGTACTGCTAGTCGAAGGAAAGTCGAGGATAAACATATATGATAATTTCGCGAGCAAACAAGTCGACGTAAAATCGAGTCTATTATTGGATGGGTTACTTCATCCCGTAAACATCGTAATATCATTAACCGGTCTCATTCCGTGGAAGAGTGGTCTGCGCTTAATTACATCTTATGGTGCGCTTCTTTTTTAAAAGCTGCACAGGTAGTCCGGGCCTTGGCGAACCAGACCGCTAATGCGACCGTGTTCGCGCCTTTCGGGTAATTGGACCGCAGAAAATGGACAATAACACCTCTCACGTTTAATTGGCGTCTTGAACCTCTCATTAACCACAAACGTGGTTATCTTCGTCGCCTTTGTAAAATTTCATTTGCCAGCTACTCGGTTTCGTACGTATATACTTCTTCTCTTTAACACGTCCTCATCCTCTACGAAGTTTCCCCTTCGTCGTGGGCATTCATAGTTAGACTTGCGACGAGCTAAGGAGCGAAAAGGAAAAAAATCGTAGGTTTCCAGGGGGTCCGTGACACTTGATACCGATAGCCGTGAGGTCAGGCTGTGCAAGAGCGAGCAAAGTAGCTGTGTCATCTCTTGCGGTGGGTATGGTGGGCCAGGTAACGGGTTATCGGTCAGGTTAAGATCGTTAAGAGGGCCAAGTACAAATTGCCTCCCCTTCTTTTTTTTTTCTCACCCTGGGATAGAAACACCGGTGTAATAAAGAAAATCCGTGGAGCAGTTTTCCCCGGCGGTATGTCACACGGTGCGAAGAGGGGAAAGGGAGTAGGAAGAGGGAAGGAAATCGAGCAAGTAGCGGCTGAAGTAGCGGGCAGGGCTCGAGGAAGACGAAAGGGCCCGTTTTAAAGAGGCGAGCATTAAAAACAACAATGTCATTACATTTTAACGACCTGTTCTTGGGCTCTGCCCTCCCTTTTAAGAACGTTCGTTTGCAGGTATGTGGTCCGCGCTCTCGTGGGGGGCAGCCACACCGAGAGGCAGAGAGAATTCTTAAAGCGGTACACACAACCAGCCCCTCTCCTCTGTCTCTCGTTTTAATTTCGATTAAACTCTCTCTCTCTCTCTCTCCTATCGTGCACAAGAGAGAAAGAAAAGGAAAAACGCTGCCCGGACTCGAACTTCCTATGAAAGAACTCTTAGAACCATCGTCTGTCAGCTGTATCATGTTTCGTGTGCATACATACGTGTCCTTCTAGTCTGAACTGATCCACTCGACACCGGCGAGGCGTCTAAACTTATAACGCGGCCAGGTAGATGTTGGCAACGGTAATCAAGACTTTGAAAACGTCAAACAGAGACCGGTGGCGGCTGCGGGCGGCGTTCGAAATTTCAGCGAGCTTAAAATTGCGATCTAATCGAAGGAAGGAAGAGAGGGTGCGAAAGCAGCTTAATCCGACACTGCTCGATGCACAGGGCCCCCATTCTGCTCTCTACACTCTGTCTGTCCCCGTTTCACTCGCGCCGGGCCCCGTTCTTCCTCCTCGCTCTGTCTCCACTCGATTTCTCCCCACGCAACGCTCTGGGCACGCCGTGCAGCTCGCGAAGAATTAGTATGGGCGAAGTAACAAAAGCACGAGGAACAAGCACGGGGGGTGTGCGGCGAGTGGCGGAGATGGAGGAAGAAAAAAAAAGGAGCCGAGATGGCGCCACACGTCCAGCGTGTTTTCGGGGCTTCCTCCGGTGCTGTTGGCAAACTCCTTTTTTTCGCCTACCTCAGGACGAGCCCCCCTGCTCTCCTTTCTCTCGCTTCTTCTCTCGCGCCCGATCTTCATCTGGTGGTCCCTTCTCGCTTCTGGCGCGTTCGGCCTTTCCTCCTCTCTCTTCCTCTTTTATTTCTGCTCCCCTTCGCGGACCCTCATCCTGTGGGCCCCCCCTATTAGTTCGGCCACGGCACCGTATTGCGAAAAAACAGAGGAAAAAAAGAGCGGTGAGGAAGGGAAGAAGAGGAGCAAAGGACGGTCGCGAAATTGGGCTAGACGAGAACGAGAGATAGGGGATTTCTCGTTAAAATCGGGGAACATATTGCGCTTCGAGGTTATAATAATCTATCTTGGTGGTAATCGTTGTGAAACAGGGGTGGGTGGGTTTTGAAACGGGATCAAATGTAGGCGTGTTGTTGCTTCACGCAGGAGAGGAATTTCGGGAGTAACGTGTGCTGTTAGATGGAAGGTGTAGTTCTTCCGCTTATGGCCGTGGATAGATGAAACAGCGGTGAAGGTGATCCAGCCGGTGGGAATAGCTCTAGTATATGTACCTTTGGTACACCAAGCTTCTCTACCATTGGCCGGCGCAGCTCGAACAATTTTACTCCTAGTGCTCCTTTCGTTCTTCTCTTGGTACTGGCTGTTCGTATTCCCTTCGTACCCTCCTCCATCGGCGTCTTCTAAGTACCGTGGCACATCGACAAAGAGATCATGAAAGTATCTCGCGCGCCTCGGGGGTCAGGGCCGTACGCACTTTGGTTCGATTGTTCTTTTACCACATTTCCATGATAATCACTTCGAATCCACCTGAATCGCGAAATAATTGCAGACATGAAACTTTGTTCAATTGCAATTATGCTACTGCGAAATGGAATACACACCTCGCCATCGACACTTCCGGCGAGTGAAGATCGACAGTCTGTAGATCTACCGTGCGTTACTCTCGGACAAATTCTTCGAGTAGCATACCGCGGCAAAAAAAGGACCGCCGGATAATAAAAAGAGAGTCTCCGTAGTGTTTGGCGGCGATTCCCCGCACGTTCCAACAGCCGTCGTTCAGGTTTGCCAAACATAATTCTCTTCTCGCCAAGGGAAAGTCCCTCCGAATGAAATATGAATTCCTATTAGAAGCTTCCTGGAAGTGGCGGCACGTCACGTCCACGGGCCGCTCGTTCTCGTAGGTGTTAAGCTTCGAGTCGGACGGATTATAATCCCGTGCTTTTTAAAAGGTCCCGCGGGAAGAGGTGAGCGAGAAACGTGGAACAGATCTGGTCTCTGTTGGCGTGGAGAGATCGCGCGGCCGCCTTTGTACCTGCCCGCCTAGGCTCGGGGGCGCGTCAAATTTGGTTGAAAATCAAATTAATCTCGCGGCTGGGCGCAGGACCCTCTTCCATCTCCTTTCCACTCCAGTCTCTCTCTCTCTTTCTCTCTCTGTGGTTCTGCGGCCAGAGGCTGTCCTCTTCGTCCCTCGTTCCTCTCGTGAGACGACACGAGCAAATCGAAGGAACGGGACTGGGAGGAAGGTGGAGAAGGAGGTGGACCGGAGGTCCTCCACGCCACCGACACGGACCTAGAGGCGAGAAGAGAAGGTGGCGCAGCAACAAAGAGCTTTGGACTTCTGGCTGCGACCCCGCCAGGGCCGTATTTATCTCGAGCCCTTCTCCCTTATTTCTTCCATCTTTTCCACACTCGAGCAGAAAACTTTGGACGTTTGCACGTTGGAAAACTTTTTCTTCGTTTAAGTTGAACGTTTGTTTAGAAGGAACTCGAGGAAAGTGGTCGCTAAAATGGAGGACGTTTCTTTGATATTTTTTAGAATTTACTTTACAAGGATGGAAATATAGATTTGTACGGTGTGATGTTAATTATCAGGTATCGGTTGTTTGTGTGGAAGATAGGTATAGGGTTTGTAGTAGAAACGACGAAATGGTGGCTCCGAATTGAGTACGTCCCTGTAGCATCCTACTCGGTCATTCAAATCTCCACTCGTGGAAATGAGATGGGCGGTCGGACCGTGTAGCCGCACACCTCCCCTCGCTACCACGTACAGGGTGATTCAACAAGAATCAGCTGAGAGCTCTAATTTTCGGGCTGTCGCGTGTTGGGGCTAATTCACGGCGAGTGTCACGTTACTAAACCATTATCTCAGAGGAATATCATGGAACTTGTTAATTTTTCAAAGTACCAGAAACTTGTTCCCTTATCACGACGACGTTTATCACTTTTCCCACGAAATTTCGCAGCCTATCGGCTGTCTTCACTTTCGAACACATCTCGGACACGACGATTCTCAGAAGTGCAAAGTAAGAAACGAAAACCGCGGCGGACAGGGAAGGTTCCACGAATGAAACGGTGGATGAAAGGGGGAGGAATAAGAAAAGATCGGGATTGAAATGCATCGGAGGGGAACGAAAGTTGATCCTCTCCTGGAAATACCGGGGACCAATTGTCCGTAGAGGGACGAGATTCCTTCTGTTGTCAGGAATTCAACTCGCGAGTCCAACGACAAAGTGAATTCCTGAAGGACGGAGGATGCACGGATGCAGAGAGGGGGATGTGAAAGAGGAGGCGGAGGTGGAGGGTTCCACTGATGCTCTGCGCAGTTAAACGGATCCGAGATTTTTCAGAGGGCCAAAAAAGGGGCCGAGCTCTCGTAATTGGGCCTGCACATCCTTTTACCTTGTCGTTCGTGCCACTTGTTGCCCAGTGATCTCCGAAAGATCAAGAAAGATCGTACGATGAGATTGACGCTTTTTTCACAACAGCGTCGCCATCGATCCAACCGGTCTATATATACATACGTTGGAACACTTGCTACTCTCTTCTTCGTCCACCCTCCTGCCCGCCCTCCTTTTACCAACCTGATGCTGGAATTATTGCTTCATTACCGATTGCTCTCTCTCTCTCTCTCTGGATTGGGCCACGTTAATTGATACCCTGCTACCCTCACCATTGATTACCACATCCTCGTTAACGTCCTTTACTTCTTCTCCTTCCTTCGAGAACTGAAATGAAACTTTTCCTCTCCACGAGCTTCACAGAATTCTCCTGCTTACGCCGGAAGGAGTGCATCCCGTATTCAAGCCCCGTAGCCTAAATCCGCCGCTATTTATGGCCGGTACGTCCACGAAGAAAGTCTCCCTCCCCTCTCGATGCCCTGGGTCAGCCACGAGGAATTCCGTTATCTCGAGATCTCGACTTAAAACTCGAGCATCGAGCTCACAGTTTCGGAATCGGGGAATCGTCCCGGACGATTTATGAATGAACCCCGGGGTCGTCGCCAATAACCCCGAAAAAAACCGTGGTCCTCCGGAGTTTACGACGCTTCCTACGCACACGCGCGTAGATAGAAACGCGTGCAGCAGCTTTAAGCAAAATTCACGCGGATGGGAGAAAAAGAGGAGCGTAAAGAGGTTGGAGAAGGGGAGGGGAGAAGCGGCACCACGACAAATCCCGGTGACGTAATTTCAGACGGTCGTCGAACCTGAGACCTCGGGAGCCTCGAGAAAGAGAGACCCACGGGGACTTTCATTCATTCGGGGTGGGGACCAGCGAATACGCGGTGTGCACACGTGCACCGTGTTTGCGCGCCTCGAATCGCAATCGCGACATTCCTTCGATATCTGCTTTTATCTGTTCCAAGATAGGAGAAAGTTTTCGACTTGATTTGTTTAAGACGATCTACCTCGCTCTCTCTCACTCTCGTTCTTTCTCACTTTTACCGCCTGGCAGCTATTCTGACCTCGGGCGACGCCTGATCAGTTGGAAAGATTCGGATACCCTCTCTCTCCTTCTATTGTTTCAGGGATCATGGGATCGACGTGTCATCTGACGGTGGCGATCGAGCTGCTCCTACTGGTCACCACTCTACACGCCCATCGGGAGCACAAGGTTTATCGATCTTTTCCTTTCTTATGGGATGCACTAGGTCGTGTAATATTAAGTATCCGATTTCTCTCTAGTCGCTCCGGTGATTAGTCGAGCGTTGTCTGTTCTGCGAAATCCACAATTTTGGAAGAAGCAAGAATTTTTTCAATTTACAACTGTTTTCGCATTTTTCACGTTACCAGTATAGAGGGTGCCTCGATTAAGTCTGACTTTAATTCCTATTAAGTGGCAATCAAGACGAGCACTTAATTTCACATTACACGGCCTAACGATCCAATGTTTATCGTTCTTTTTCTTCTATTACGACGATCTGTGACGTTAGTGGTTCTGGATTCAAGGTCCACAACATCGTGCTCTACCCCGACAAGCACAGCTGGTGCAAAACGACGCCGATCAAGCAGGTCCTCACATGGCCGCAATGTTCCTCCCAAGAATTGGACAACAACGTGTGCGTCGGAGCTTGTTTCTCGTACATGGTGCCTCACAGCGAACCTTCTGCTCCCGGTGACTTGATCAGACCGTATTGCGACTCTTGCCAGCCGTTGGACAGTGTCTGGCACACGGTAGGTGAATAAATAAACGCCACCGAGCGCCTAAAGAGTGTCTCGCCTTCACCGAGAAATTCCTGAAAATGTTCCAGGTGACACTGGACTGCAAAGACGAGGAGAACAATCCTATCACCATGCAGAAGAAAGTGCAAATCATAACGAACTGCTCCTGCAGCTCCTGTATGGAGACTTCGAGGATCAAACCAGACTACAACACCTTGCTTCAATCCTTGACCAAGGAGAATCTCGACAAAAACGTGAACGTAGTCCACGAAACGCCAGATTTGCTCTTAGATCCGAATTTAAACTCCTCTAAGAACACAACGAGGGACGGTGTCCAGGCTAACGAGAGATTCCTGCAGATGATCAAGCAGATGAAGGACTCCGAGAAGCTGAAGCAATTCGGCACGCAAGAAATTGGACCGAACGGTTTCGACATGGACGACTTGGACAAGCTGAGAGAGTTGTTGAAGACGTACGGTCAGGAAGAGGAGAAACAGCATTCTCATCAGCATCAACACCAGCATCAGCATCAATCGTCCGGGAAACAGCAGCAGCAGCAGCAGCAGCAACAGCCACAGCATCATTCCACGACGGTTCTCCATCGAGGACCGCACCATTCGAGGGTCCTGGACTCGGACGTGAAGGAGAAGATCGACGTGGAGCCGCATTATCTTCATCCGGCTGTCGCCGGTCAGGAGATCAGCTACCACGACAACGTTCTCGTGGACAAAGACAAGAAGAAGGATTTCTGATGCGACGAGGACTCGTGTCTGATCGATGGAAACGGGTTAGGTTAGTCGGCTGCGAACGTCAGACTTGCCGGAACGACCGGTAGTGATATGAGTTTCGCATAGGTGAATGAGATCGTTTCTTTTTTATTTTTATTATCAGGATCATTCGTTGCCTAGTCCAGTAAACCCCGGTAAATCACTTGGTTCGGCGAACGATTCATTTTGTAAATAGAAGAGATGTTTCTTTTTTCTTTCTCGTTTTACTCTTTTTTCTTTCTCTTTTTCTTTTTTGTTTCTTGTCTTTTCGGTTCTCTTTTTGTTTAGTCAGGAAAAAGCCGACACTTCGCGTAGTAGGTATTCGTTAAACTGTTGCGCCGCGTTAACTCTCGAGGAAACTTGGATTGGGCGTTAAGGATCTCTTGTCGAAGGATCCTGAGAAGGGGGAAATGGGGAGAGAGAAA